TTAAATAGTCAAAAGGTCCAGCTGGGACAGTTCTTTTGCAAGGGACAAGGCTGATGGTGCCTGCTTGGCTCTGAGGATAGTTTTGCATGACACCAGGATATAATCTACACTTGAAAAAATAATCTTTTAATTAAAAATTGTTGTTTGTTTGTTTGTGTATAGAGCTATTTATGTAGCTCTAGCTAGCCTGGAGTTCACAGCATAGACCAAGCCAGACTCAAACTCAGTGAACACCTTGCCTCTGTCTCTCTTGTGCTGAGATTAAAGGTAGGAGCCACTACGCCTGGCTATTTATTATGTTCATGTTATGTGTATGAGTGTCTTACCTGCATGCACTGTGTGTGTGCCTGGTTCTTATGGAAGACAGAAGAAGGCACCAAATGTCCTGGAACCAGAGTAAAATAAGCAACCATATGGGTGCTGGGAACCAAACCCAGGTTCTCTGCAAGGACATCAAGTGGTCTTAATTACTGATCCATCTCTTCAGGCCCTGAAGGGACAATCATATATGTGAATAAAGTGTCCCATTTCCATAAAGCTGCATCAAATCAGGACACAAGTGCTAATTTTAAATTATTATATAAAAAGTTAAAATGACAATTTCTGGGTTGGGGGTGAAGTGTCATAGTGAGTGTCTAGATATGTGAGCGCCTGGTGTTTGCTCAGCATGTGTGAGCACCTGGTGTTTGCCCAGCATGTTTGAGCACCTGGTGTTTGCCCAGCTCGTGCAAGGGCCCAAGTTCCATCCTGGAAAATAAAATAAGACCTGTGAGGAAGAACGGGAGGCTTCCATTTATCAAGTACCTGCTGAGTGAGGGGAATTATGCCTGTCTTCACCTGTGGTATTCTCTTACCAGCAATGCTGTGAAGAGACCATCCTCTCCTAGAGGTGAGGAAAGGGCCTTAAATTTTCAATAATTGGCCTTCAAGCAGACCTGGGTTCGATTCCCAGCACCTACATGATGTTGTCCCAACCATCTGTACTTCCGGTTCCAGGGGCTCTGATGTCCTTTTCTAGCCTCCTTGGGCACTGCACATACATGGTGCACAGACATACATGTAGGCAAAACACCATACACATAAATAACAATAATCATCATGTACACCCAGGATTTTAACCAGACCTTACCCATAGTCAGGATCTCATCAGTTTTCCTCCATACACTGCCTTGAAGTTCATGGCTCTCTAGGGGTTCATCCTCACACACTAACTCCTTCCCCAAGAGGGCTAAACTCGGGGAAAGACTCTCATTTTCTCCTGAGCTCTGGAGGGAGGCAAATATGTGTAACTCCCGCCCCCCCCCACCCCGCCCAGTCCCACAAGGGGCATGTGGTCTTTATCCAACTGGTACAGTTAATACATCTGAGAGCCAACATCTATGCATGTTCTCTCTTCATCTTCCTCTACCTCTGTCCTCTGCTCTTGCCTCACTACTCAGTGCCAGGTGTTAGGTCGGATGGCTGACTTGCCTCCATGAACCTACCTGTCACGGACCTTCTCCACATACACACTGAAATTCTCTCATCCTGACAACCCACTCTGTGCTGAGCAAGTTCACTCTCCACTTAACCTCAAGCAAATCAGGGCCAGATTGCACCACAAACCCAGCTGTCCTAGATTCTATGAGATGATGAGAAATTCTTGAATCCTGACGCCTGGCATGTTGGCCAATCTAGTGATTGCCGGTGTTCCGTTCTGGGATTGAGGATTACCAATTTGTTGTAACTGTGAAAATAGGTTTGACAGCATATAAGATGGCCAAACAGATGAGCTGAAGTCAGGTGGCCTGGATTTGGATCCTGGTTCCACCCTGAATGGCTCTGTGGCCTGGAGCAAGTTATTTCGCCACCTCTCATCTCAGAAAATAACTCTTAGGCATGGCACTTAACCTCCCTAGGCTGCTGGGAAAACTAAATGAGAAAATGAAATGAAAATGCTTACCGTCCTGTGGGTTATGCTCATTGAGTGGCAGCCATCGCTTTTCACTGCTGCTAATGCGGAGATCTGCCAAGTCGTTGCCACAGGCCCATTCTGTGTACCCAACACCCGCCTGGCTTGACTGGAAGTAAAATATTGCCCCTACTTCTGGAACTCTCTGTGTCTCTCTACCTAGAACCTTCCCTGTCAGGATAGAAACACCTCTGAAACTTATGTTTAACATTCCTTCGCTTAAATTTTTTACATTTATATCTTCTGTGTACATGCGTACCATGACAGAAGTGTAGAGGTCAGAAGGCAAGTCCTGGGAGTCAGGTCTCTGCTTGCACCATGCGGGCTCCGTGGACGGAGGGCTTGGGGACAAGCACCTTTATCCACTGAGCCATCTTCCTGGCTCTCTTCACTTTTCCATGTTTACTGCGTGTGTATAAATCTCTAACACTAAGTAGTGTTTTGCTAAGCTTGGGGTATAGACAGATTTTCTTTGGGCTGCTATCTTAGACATTTATTACTAATTATAAAAGCTTGGCCTATAGCTTAGGCTTGTCCCACCAGCTCTTATAACTTAAATCAACCCACTTCTATTCATCTATGTGCTGCCGTGTGACTTGTGGCTTTTTTTTAAACCTCTCCTCCTGCATGTCTTGCTTCCTCCGCATCTGGCCCTTTCCTCTTCCCGGAGCTCTCTGTCACCAGAAGTCCAGCCTAACCTCTTCCTGCCTAGCTAATGGCCATTCAGCTCTTTATTAAACCAATCACAGTGACACATCTTCACAAAGTGTAAAGGAAAATTCCACAACACGGGGCTATTTGGTTAGTTAAAGTAAATGAAACTTTACAGGATTTATTTACTTTTTCATTCAATACTGTTTTTGGGATTCATCTATGTCAATGTGTGAGGTCATAATTTATTGTTTTTCCTTGGCCTCATGGCAATTATGTATCCATTCCTCTACTTTTTAAATATGTATATGATTTATGTGTAGATGTGTTTATGGGTACTGCATGTATGCAGGGGCCAGAGGAGACCAGAAGTCATCAGATACCCTGGAATTGGAGTTACAGACAATTGTGAGTCACTTTGTGGGTGGTGGAAACTGAACTCAGGTTCTTTGTAAAGACTCCAATGCTCTTAACCACCGAGCCACCTCTCCAGCCCCTCCATTCCTTGGTTAATGGACATTTAAATTTGTGCTAGCTTTTTATTAATGTAGATGGCGCTTTTAGTCTTATCACATTCCTGCACAGGTCACTACAGGCATGTGGATATGGACAGTGGGAAAACACTGAAGTTTATGAGTTACATTGACTGTGTCTACAGAGTAGACTCTGAGACTGGAACATTATTCTCTATTCCTCCCTCTTTCCTTCCATCCCTCTCTCTTCCCTCCTATAAGTGATATGAAAGGGAACTACTGATCTCAACCACTCCAAACTATACCACTCTGTGGGTAGAAAAAAAGAAATTATAGTTTAATTTGCAGGAAAAGAGTTTTATGGCAATAAGTGTACTGGACTCAAAATTCTGAGATGATTGGAAAGTCAAAGTAGCCAATAGATATTTAACACTGAGCAATCAATAAAGAGCTTTAGTATTAGAACTGTGGGTGCCTGGGCCAAGAGGTTTCAGAGGAGAAGAATGTTAGTGTATTGCCCTAGAGATTGTTCTTGTAATATTTCAGTGAAGAATGTGGCTGCTTTTTGCCCTTGTTCAAAAAGTCTGCCTGAGGCTAAAGTGAATTGTTTTGAATTAATTCCATTGGTAGAGAAAATCTCACAACAGCCTAGCATAGACTCTGTTGTGTGGTTTTTAGTGTTAACTCTAATGAAGAATTATAATGAAAGGAGCAATTTGAGCAAGAAAAAAATACAAGATGTGGAACAATTTGAGGAGAAAGGGGCAGCAGGAAGTGGAATGGAGCTAAATCCTGTGTTCAAGGAGATACACAGATTAGGAAATGTAATAAAGGGAGTGGTGACTTCAGGGTAAGATCCCACCCAGCCAAGTTTCCAACTTGTGAAAAGGAATTAAAGAAAAGCTTAGATTCGGGTGTGGTGGTGCACACCTTTAATTCCAGCACTGGGAAGGCAGAGGCTGGTGGATCTCTGAGTTTGAAGCCAGACTGATCTACAGAACAAATTCTAGAGTAAGCTTGGGCCGTGAAGGAAACAACTGAAAAGCAAAGCTGGTAAAGATGTAATTGAAAGAGGGGCCATGTTCCAGCCCCAGCAAGCAGCAGACTTAGCAGCTCTGGCCATGTGGTTCTGGCTTAGAGTCAAGGATAGAAGAAGGGAATCTAATTCTGCAACTAAGGAAAGCTGCTGAGGTCAGGCATGTGTCAGGGGTGTCCCTGAATGGAGGCCTAGGGAGGACATTTCTTAAAGCTGTGAAGTTGAACTTTGGATTGCCTTGGAGATCCCAAGATAGTAGAGAGGACAGAGCCATGAGATGCCTGCAAAGGAGAGCTGCTAACAGGAAGTGGAACCAGCCCAAGAGAGAGAAGTGTGTTGCAGTCAACAAAGCTGAAGGGAGTGGAGATCTGAAGAGCTTTTTGACATCAGACATGGAGGTGCAGAGTTTGGAGTTTACCCAGCTGGTTTCCAGTCTTGCTTTGGTCTAGTATTTCCTCACTATGCTCCCTTCCCTAATGGTTTGGAACAGTAATGCATATACTGTGCTACTCTATGTTGGGAGTATTCAATCTGCTTTTTTCATCTCACAGGGGATTACAGTTAAGAGAGTGCATGAGTCTCAGAGGAGACTTTGAACTTAAGACTTTTAAATAAGTTTGAGATTGCTATAGACTATGGGGACCTTTGAAGTTTGACTGAATGCATTTTTACATTATGATATAGCTACAAGCCTTTGGCGGCCAGCGAGTGGAGCGTGGTTGTCTGAAAGAAAATGGCTCTCAAAGGGAATGGTACTCCTGGGAGGTGTGGTCTTGTTGGAGTGGGTGTGGCCTTGTAGGAGGAAGTACGCACTGTGAGGAGGCTTTGATGTCTCCTTTGCTCAAGCTGTGCTCAGTGTGGTAGACAATTCACTTCCTGTTGCCTGCAGCTCAAGATGGAGAACTCTCCGCTCCTCAGGCACCATGCCTGCCTGCATGCCACCATGTTTCCTGCCATGATGAAAATGTACTAAACCTCTGAAACTGTAAGCCAGCCCCAATTAAATGGTTTCCTTTGTAAAAGTTGCTGTGGTCATGATGTCTCTTCACCGCAATTGAAACCGTAACTGAGACAACATGGCTCTGATTGTTCAGGTTCCTCTACAAGCCCACCCCTTGATTTAAAGTGGAGTTAATCAGGACCCCAACTTATGAGCTGAGTGAGAATAGAGGGACCTTTCCTGGAAAAACTGGAGTGCCTGTTCCTAAAAGAAGGGTAACAGTCACAGCTTAAAACAACAGTATCCAATATATCCTAGACATGTTATGTGATCTGGACAGGCTGTTTCTTCCTCTCAGGAATTCTGAGGCTTGTTTGTTTCTGCCTTGTGTTTGGTTTTAGTCCAGTGTAGCCCAGGTTAGCCTCAAGGTCATTATGTAGCCAAGGATGACTTTGAATTTCTGATTCTCCTCTCAGAGTCTCCTAAGTGCTGGGATTACAGGTGTGCACCACACCCAGCTTATGCAGTTCTGGAGGCTGAATCCAGGGCGTGCTGAGTGCCAGGCAAGCATTCTCATCCCCAGTCCTGGGTGTCTGCTTCTTCATCTCTGGATGAAAGTGACATTCTGAGGGTCTCTGAGACCCTGCCTAGGATTGGACCTGTGATATCCTCCTCTTCTTTGCTACTCCTGGCCTGTGACATCACAGCTGGACCGATCTCTTCAGAGCTTCAAGTGTCAACATTGGCGCTGTAGTCCAGCAGGGCATTTCCTGGGTTTACTCTCAGAAGCACCTCTAACATGGTCACCTTCTCGTGCAGCTCACTGGACCACAACAGTTGAAGACATAGGTCAGGAATCTTCCCAGAACCCTCGCTCTTCTTTCTACTGCAACTTTCTTTAAAGCCCCAAAGCTCAGGCAACTTGCAGCAAACTGCTGTCACTCCTTGATTGCAGAGGGCCAGCTGAGGCAGGACTTGGTTCTTGCCCCACAGAAGCTAAACGAGATCCAGGAGCTGTCCTATTCTGAAGGTGACCCTCAGCAACTTCAGGGGTTGATTTCAGGACCTCCCAAGATCCACAGATATTCCAACCTCTTAAACAAAATGACAGTGTTTTCATACAACCTATACAATCTGCCCCATATACTTTAAATTATCTCTAGATAACTTATAATCCCTAATACAATGAATATGTCATATGCAGCTACTAAGCTGTATTGTCTACTATGCTGTGACAAGAAAAAAATCTCTTATGCACATATGTAATTTTTTCTGCATAGTTTCAATAGGCTATGGATAGACTTCTCTTTCTCTCTGTATGTGTGTATAAAGACAGAAAGACTGAGGGAGACAAAGAAATAATTGGGGAAATTGTTTCATACAGTTGAGGAGGTTCAGTGAGTCCAAAATCTGATGGAAGAGGCCATCAGGAATTCCCAGGGAAGACTTGCTGTCTGAATCCAAAAGCAGCCAGTCAGCAGAATTCCTGCATGCTCAGGCCAGTTAATAGAAAATAGATTTGTTTTAAATAAATTTATTGTAACTTACAAAACAGATTTGTTTTCAAGTGATTGAATAAAGCCCAGCACATGATGGAGAACAATCTGTTGTATCTATATACTAATTTCTATATAAATCTTATTTTAAAAAGAAAGTCAGAGAAACATCTAGAACATTGAATAAATGTCTAGGTACTGGGACCCAGCACTGACCATGTTAACCAGCACAGACACCTGGTCTTCAAGAAGTCAGGGCCCTAGGGTGACAATAGCAGTAACAAAGGCACATGCACACTCATGTGCCAGATATAGCAGTGGCCTCAGCCTGGATGCTGTGTGACCTCTCCCCAGCTCTCTCTGACTTTGTCAAGATTTCTGAATGGATGTAACCTTTGCTCTCTCTGCCTATGGCCCTCTCGCACTCCAGATCCTGGAAGCCTTAGCTTCTGGAACCCCAGGGCAAGGGCATACTGCAGCCTGCCATGTCTCCCTAGGACTCTAGACCACTGCTACAGAAGGCACGGGTCTGTACAGCCCTAGGGAATGGCTCCACACACTGCCCTTTCCTCACTCAATGTGTGTACTTTGGATCAGCTGGCTACACACTGGAAGGTCCATGGGAGCACCAGACCTGCTAGGATGACTCCCAGGACTCTGTCTGGAAGCTTAAGTAAAGCACCAGGCTTGTCCTTTAGTTCCTGTAGTCAGTCAAGGTCAGTGACCCCTGGGAACAAAGACATGCATTCCAAACAGGACATCCCTTCCCAGTGGTTGAAGGCAAAGACCAGAACGTGCCTTGTATGAAGTTAGTTATCTATAAGTATGAAGTATCACATACCGTGTTCCCAAAGACTCGAAGCCAGGCAGTGCTGGAAAGTTTGGGAACTGACAAGGAAAGGCCCCTTCCTGGCTGCTTTCCCTCTTTCAAGTTTACTCAGTCTATGTTTGTCTGTTTGGTTGTTCTTTGTCTTAGGTTAACATTTTTAAATTTTTAAGATTTTATGCATGTGAGTGTTTGTCTGCATATATATATGTGTACCATGTGCATGCCTGGTGTCTGCGGAGGCCAAAAGAGACATCAGATCCCCTGAAACTGGAGTTAAAGGTGGTTGTGCTGCCATGTGGGTGCTGTGAGTCAAACCTGGGTCCTCTGCAAAAGCGTCCAGAGCTCTGAACTGCTGAGCCCTCTCTCCTGCCTCTTAGGTATTTTGTGTCATTCACTCATTCATTCATTCATTCCAGTGTGGGTGTGCACTCATGTGCCACAGCATACATGTAGAGGTCAGAGTACAACTTTTTTTGAAAAAAGGTTTATTTCTTTATTGTGTATGCTGTGTTCTGCCTGCATGTATGTCTGCAAGCCAGAAGAGGGCACCAGGTCTCAACACAGATGGTTGTGAGCCACCATGTAGTTGCTGGGAATTGAATTCAGGACCTTTGGAAGATCAGGTAGTGCTTCTAAACACTGAGCAATCTCTCTAGCTCCAGAAGACAACTTTTATGAGTTTTTTTCTCTCCTACCATGTGGGTCCAGAGATTAAACTCAGGAGGCTTGGCAATAGGCACCTTTACCTGCTGAACATCTTACCAGCCCTGGTTGGTTTTTGTTTGCTTGCTTGTGGTTTGGTTTTTATCAGTTCTATTGCTTTGCTGAGACAGGGTCTCACTGTGTAGCCTTGGCTGGCCAAGAGCTCACTGTGTAGACCAGGTTGACCTCAAACTCATAGAGATCCATTTGTTTCTGTGCTGGGATTAGGTTTTTGTTGTTGTTGTTGGTGGTGGTGGTGGTGGTGTGTGTGCGTGTGTGTGTATGTGTGTTTGAGATTTTGAGGCAGGGTCTTGCTATGTAACCCAAGCTGGCTTAGAATTTGCAGAATTCCTGTCTCAGACTCCTGAGTAGAGGAATTATAGATGTGTGCCACTATACTTGTCTGTGTTTAGTAATCTTGAAAAAATTGCTTAACATATTGATGCCTACCAGCCAAAGACCACCAGGAGCCTTCCTAATTGTCCATGGATCTCATTAGTGGTTGCGCACAAGGAGGTAGGCACATGTGAAGTTGGAGAGTGTCTCTGGAGAGGTGAGAGTGGGGCTTCCTGAGGGATTTGGGCTCATAAGAGATGATTTTTCAGGGCATATTCAAGGTAGTCAGGGTTTGTGGATGGGTGCTGTCAGGGGAGGGGGCAGTGATACACTGGGTTTCTTTGTAACTTTTATCTAGGCAGTAGGGAGAGAGGCTGGGATAAAAGGCCTGGAATGGTAAAGAGCTGCCATCTCATTGAGCCAAGACTGGCTGACGTGGGCCAACTTTGTGACAATCTTGTTTTTCCATGCTCAGCCATCTTATGGAGTCGTCTTGCCCTCGCCTTGTTGTCACCACTGCATGGTGCCCTGTGAAAGGCTGGGTGACAGGAGGATGACAGGCAAGGTGGCAGCTCCCAGCATTCAGAGGTAGGAGCTGGTTCTCTTCCTTTCTTTCCTGAATCTCCCACTGACAGCATGGGGACCACATAGACCACAGTGAGAACTAAGAGGAATAACACACAATGTCCCACGTAACATGAAACAACGGCCAGTACAATCCACCAGCACTACGGCCGAGGAAAACAAGTTTAGGGTAATATGAAGAAAGAAAATCCAAATAAAGATTGAGACAGGGGAAACACCCTGAGCAAGAACATCAGCTGAGGGTAATCCCTGAGCTGAAGTCTGTCCTAAAGTTCCCCCTGTGCCTCCTACCTCAAGCCAAGGCAGCCATAGTGTGTGTGTGTGTGAGTGTGTGTGTGTGTGTGTGTGTGTGAGAGAGAGAGAGAGAGAGAGAGAGAGAGAGAGAGAGAGAGAGAGAGAGAGAGAGAGAGGAAAAAGTAATACATATGAAGGATTATGGTCAATGCAAAGGTAGTTAACGTCCAAAGACCAGTAAATAGAAAATAAGGCACAGGAATAGATTATAGGATAAGGCTAAGTATAGGGATGCATGCCTTCCTTTAATCCCAGCACTTGGGGAGGCAGAGGCAAGCAGATCTCTCTGTAAGTCTGAAGCCATTCACGTTTACATAGTGAAGTCCATGCCAGCCAGAGATGAGAGTAAGACCCTGTCTCAAACAAACAATAACCCAAAGCAAAACAAACGACTATAGTATAAAGAACAAACCTGGCTGGACCGACAGCCTCCAAAACAATACAGAGAAACCCTGTCTCCTAAAAACCAAAAAGAATGCAACAAACCAGGAGGCAGTGGCTCACGCCTTTAATCCCAGCACTTGGGAGGCAGAGGCAGGCGGACCTCTGTAAATTCGAGGCCAACCTTGTCTACAAAGTTACACAGAGAAACACTGTCTCAGAAAAAAAAAAGAATGCAACACATCTTTGCATCATTTAATAAATGTTCCACAGCATAAACAAATGCAACACATCTTCAACTAATATTTTACAACAGGTCCATAATTGAATTCTCTGAGGAATCCACCAAAAGTATTTAAGACAGGAAGTTTTAAGATTATATAATATGAGTTCAAACTATAAAAACTAATTAAATTTCCATAAGCAAGGAGCAGTCTGAAAATGGTACTGAGAAAACAATTCCATTTATAATATCATCAAAAAGAACAGAGTACTGAAGAATAAATTTAACCCTAAGACGTGTGTACTGAGACATGGTGAGATCATGAAATAGGGAGATTTTAAAAACTCCTGTCCTTAGAAAAGGAAACAAAAAGCCTTGTGTATTGACAGGCGAGAGACAGTACTGTGGCATCAGTTGCCTTAGGCCACCCCAAATCCATTCTGCTCAGAAAGAAAGTAGTTGCTTATGAGTCAGTGGTCATATGTACTGGCCAGGGGAGGCTTTCAACTCCTCTCAAAGCAACTGGAAACACGGGGCAGACCGGTGGGTGGGGTAAGCCCTCTGGACGGGGAAGCTAGCTGCAGAGGAAGCCCAGGGTTTGGAGAACTGGGAGGCCAGCCAGGGCCACTGTGACTATGCCCATCTGCAGTCTAACTTAAGTCCTTGGAAGATGGAGGGTCAGAGTGTGGCCCTCAGAGCCTTATAGGCCCCTAAGTAACCTCAGGTCTGCATCCCTGATGGCTTCGCCTCTGGGGCCCTGTGTTTCAGAACAGTCTTCAAGGCCTGCAGGATAGTGTCCTGGCTGTTCCGAATGTTGTAGTCACTGAGCTGAAGCAGATGGTCAAAATCTTCCTCTTTGTAAGTCATGTTGTACAGGATGTAAGGGGAGGTTTCCCCTGTGAGATCCACCTGCCCAGCCTTGAGCTCAGAGGGACTGCGCCGGACACCTGCCCAAGGGTGAGAGGAGAGTCAGGGACGGGACACAGGCTTGCACAGGTGGGCGGGGCAGGACACAGGGGCTGGCACAGGTGGGCGGGGCAGGACACAGGGGCTGGCACAGGTGGGCGGGGCGAAGCCTCTCAGGCAGGCCCGGGGAAGCTGAGCCCTGTGCAAGGGGTCCTTGCTTTTCCTTTCACCCAGAAATACAAATTGGGTGGTAAGAAATGACTCTGAAGTGAGAGGAGTTTGTCACCCTTAGACTCCCACAGCGTGACACTCCTCCCACGGTTTAGACAGCTCATGGGACTAATCATGACTTCTCAGGAAGCTAGAAGCTGCCACAATGAGGAATAATGTGATCAATGAATGGATTCAGAAGCTCCTGGTGAGAACAAAGAGAGGAATTTTTCTTGGAATTCTGAGACTTGACTAAGGGTAAAACTGGAAGCCCAGCAAGGGCGGTGGCGGCACACGCCTGTAATCCCATCACTCGGGAGGCAAAGGCAGGAGGATCTCTCTGAGTTTGAGGCCAGCCTGATCTACAAAGCTACATAGAGAAACCCTGGCTCAAAACAACCCAAAACAAAGCAAAAAAACCCTAAGGCAGGATGGTAAGTCCCAGACCTGGTCTAACCCTGAGGTCACAGACAGCCTGGGCAACTTTAAAGCCTGGGCTGGGGATGTAGTTGCTGAGCACTTGCCAGTATGCAGGAGGCCTTAGATTTTATACACGGTATAGGAGAAGAAAGAGAAATGGGTTTGGAAAGATGACTGATCAGTTAAGAGCACTGCTGCTCTTCCAGAGGATCCAGGCTTGATTCCCAGCTCCACACGGCAGCTCACAACCATCTGTGACTTCAGTTCCAGGGGGTCTGATGCCCCCTCTGGCCTCCTTGGGCACCAGAGTGTGCCCAAGATATTCATTCGGGCAAAAGCCCATATTTTAAAAAGAAAAAGGAAGGAAGGAAGGAAGGAAAAGAAGAAAAAGTAGAACCAGAAGCCAAGTGTGACAGCACACACTAGTAATCCCAGCACTCAGGAAGGTGTGGCCAGAGGACTGCTACGAAGTTGAGGCCACATAGTGAGTACCAGAGTACCAGGTCAGGTGAGGCTATGCAGAAAGACCGTATACCAAAAAAAGAAAAAGAGTAAAACTGCAAGATATTATGATAGCAGGTAAAAAACTGGGAATAATGCACAAAGGCAGACATTAAATTTTCCTACCCAGAGAAGATAAATTCTGACAAGTTGGTGGAAATGAGGCTAGGAAGGAATGTGATAAGGGCTTAGATTTGAGGGGCACTCCAAGAAAGGCCCAGGTCCCTGAGGAGGGGCCCCGGGCCACACAGGGTGGGAAAGCAGAGGGGCCAGGACACTGTGTGGGCATTAGTAGCCTAGGCTAGGGAGGCGTGGCTAGGCCGAGGAGGCGTGGCCAAAGAGTCAGAAGAACAATTAAAAACCTTTCCTGGAGGGCAAAGGAAGGGAATGATGGCCTCACCGGGGGCTGAGTAGTCCCTGAAGGAGCCGTTGACCAGTGGGAAGTGCAGCAGAGCAGGTGCCTCAGGGCAGGTGGGGTCTGAGAAAAAGTGGCATTCCTGGGGCTGGCGTTGGTCCTCGGGGCTGGGCTCCACGTGGGGGAAGGGCAGGCCCTGAGCTCTGCAGTATGCCTCAGATTGCTGCAGCCCCTAGAGGAGCAGGGGAAAGCAGAGGAAGCTGTGTCGCTCAGCTCCATGCCGGGTCTGTTCCAGACCCCACTTGCTCCCTCAGCATCAAGACAGCAGTCTGGCCCGGTCGTGAGTTACTCAGGCCTCGGAGGGAATCCAAGGATCTGGGTAGTTCAAAGTTATAGGCAAGGATGAAGACCCAGCAGCCATACCCACCCTCTTCCTGTCATTGCACCATCAGTGGGGTCTTAGACCTGGAGGCCTTCAGCCAGGAACCTAGATGTGCATGCCTGCATTACTGCTGCCCAGAGTTCCCAGAGAAAGTTGAGAGCTGGCTGTGGAGGTGCTTGGGATCTCCTGCCAGCTCTGTCCAGCTATTCTATCCCAAAGAGGTTCCATTCCCCTGTCTAGGGTCACCACCACTGCCCTTCCCAACAGAGGACCCAGGAAGAGCCTGTGGATTACAGCGTCTTCCCTTAGTCATGGGAAGTATGGGGCCGTGGCACAGTGGCCCAGCTGCTCATCCATGGAGGGGAGTCTGGCCAGACAGAGGGTTCCCACAGAGTGACTAGGCACCTCAAAGGGCGAGAATTGGGAGTAGCTGAAGGAGAGTATGAGATCCACTTGGCGACCGGGGCGGAGCATGGAGGGACAGCTGTTGTTGATGAAGTAGGCAGCGTCCACTAGGCAGAGCCGAGTGTCCTGTGGGGTCAGCTGATTGGGGGAGTTATCCAGGTGGCAATCTGATAGGAAAGGCGATGCTAGTTAGAAGCAGCCACCTTTGGATAGGTAGCCCCCACACCCCTCTGACCCCATTTCCCTCCCTGTCCCCTTCTTATGCCTGTCTGGTGTCACTCTCTGAATTCAGGTCCCCTAAGCCCCACAATGGGATCTCCAGACCACACTCCAAAAGTATATTTCTCCACAAACCTCTGCCGGCTAGCAGCCATAGCTCAACCCCAACCAGAAGCCTGCCTGGCCTTGTGGGGACATGTGGCCATGGACCTTACCTGCCCAGGTGGAGAAGTCTTTCTGGTCACGGTAGTCCCGGTGCAGCTGGAGGCCATGGAGGAAGTTGGCACTGCATTGGTGGAATGGCCGGCCACTCAGAAAGCCTTTAAATGCCTGGGCCAGCGCTGTTCCAGGTTGCAGCCATGAGGCCTCCACACAGGAGGAGGTTCCTGCTGAGGCAGAGGACTCCTCTGCAATAAGAGAAACAGGCATTGCTTGTTATATGAGGGGCCCCAAAAGGCCTCTCCTCCACCAGCCTCAAAAAGGGAGAGGCCTCATCCCAGGTCCCCACCTCTAGCACCCTCTTCTACCTGAGTTCTGGACATCCACAATGGCATTCTTCCAGTCTTTCCCAGAGGTGACATCATACCAGATATCCATCAAGTTCACGGAGAAAATGTTGCTCCAGATACCTGAAGACCAAATTCCCCAAACCAAATAGAGTCCTTAGATTCCTGAACCCCGTCTTTCCCGCATGAACACCGAATGATCCCCGTTCTTGGGTGCCAATGGAAAATGGGCATGAGGAGAGAGCAGCTCCTGCAAAGGGTCTTCCCACTGCCCACCTGTCCCTCACCCTGGGGCTCTGCTCACCTTCCAGAAAGCAGATCTGGGACTCAGGGAGCCTCTTCATCAGCCTTCCCATGAAGAACTCAGAGCCAAAGAGCTCAGGAGGGACAAAGCCTCCATATTTCAGGAACCCAACTTCGTAGGGAGAGAACTCCACCCATTCTAATGCCATGGGAAAGAGAGGCAGGGACGAGAGGGGGGTGGGGAAGGGGGCTCACATCACTGTTGAAGCCCAGTGATACTGCCCCTGCAGGCCTTTGACTTCCCCATCTGCACCAACCCTGCAGATGTGAGGAACGCATTTTCACTGGCTCCTGCCCACACCCAAGGATGGAGTATTCCCCAACTGACTGCTGGGCTCATCATCCTTCCAGAAGCTAGCCATTGTGTGCAGGAGTTGTGCTAATGGGATCTCTGGGGACTCTCAGGGCATGGAGAAGTTGTTAGAGGATGGAGCGGCGAGGGCTTTACCCTTGAAGTGCAGGGTATCCAGATTGTTCTCTTTGACATTGAGGCTCAAGTAGAGGGGCAGAGGGTTCTGACCCCGCTCCAGTGCAGCTCTCTGTCCTGACAGTTTCTGGGCTGTCACCTAGGGTTGGAAGCATGAGAACATGAGTGAGGAGGAGTATCTTGGGGGCAATAACTTCAACAGGCCCAGGGCAGGGTGGGGACACAGAGAGTAGTGAGGAGGCTGCAGCTCCATTGGGTTCTGGGAGTTATGAGTGGGTGTGTGTAGTCAGTTCTGATCAGTTCCATATGTGCCTACCATATCTCCAGGAAGAGTCATTCTCCAAGACCACGATACCAACAGCTCCTCATCTCCTCCCCATTCTTTCTTTACACACACACACACACACACACACACACACACACACACACACACACGCACACACAGAGAGAGATACACACAGAGACACACACAGAGATACATACACACACACAGATACATACACAGGCACACACACAGACATACACACAGACACAGAGACACACACACAGAAAGAGAGAGAGAGATACACACACAGAGATGCATACACAGGCACACACACACATCCCTTTCCAAGAAGCACACAGCAATCTGTTAACCCACATTATACGATATGCCAATGGATGCCAATGGATGTCCTTTTTAGGTTCACTTTACTGCATTTCAAGTCTGGGCTTCTTCCAAATGCTTTCCTGACATTCTCGCTCCACCCAACAAAAGATTAAGGAAAAAATGTTGAAACTGAGGCTGAGGATGTAACTCAGTTGATAGAACAATTCACCTAGCATGCATGAGACCCTGGGGTGAGCCTTCACAATACATAAAACAGGCATGGTGGTACATGCCTGTAATCCAAGCACTTGAGGGATAACAGCAAGAGGATTAAGAGTCTAAGGCCAGCCTCAGCTACATAGCAAATTAGATGCCAGTCTGGGCTACATGTCTCCAAACAATTACTATAAATTGTATACAGAAACTCATGCTGAAGTCATTATTAGAGGATCAAATGGCAATTAAATAAACATTTTCTTTATAGCTGGGATCAAACTGTTATTTTAGTACCTCATAAAATGTAGTCAAATAAGCTCCTCCCTCTATGTTAATTGCTGTTGCCACCAGACATAAGTCAGTTAGTAAAAGCACAGTACATTCTAAACAGAATATGAACTTAAACAGTAGGTCCAAAGGACACACAGGACACAATACAATAAAAACATTTCAAGTAGTTACATTGGCCTGATAAATTCAATGCTACTCCAATTAGAATCCAAACATTAATAGTGAAACATGACTAATTGATTCTATTATGAAGAGCAGAAGGCCAAAAGAAGCCAGAGAATTTTGAAAGAAGAGTCAAAATAGATGCTCATTGGTCATCAGAATTAGAACTCTGAAACAAGGTCTTTTACCCACATCAGGACCAATGCCTATAAGAACTCACAGAGACTGACAGTGTACATGCAGCCTGAGTAGATCTGCGCCAGATGGGTTCCAGTGCTGAGAGAAGTAGACACATGCCCCCATCCCTAACTTAGAAGCTCCTTCCAACTGATAGCCTCTGAGTTTTCTCCAACAGAGTATCTGAAATAAAAAACCAGTTGTCTCCAACGGGTTCTCTATGGGGATATAATCCACTCAAGGGCAGGCCCCATGCCCAACAGAAGATGGTCAACACAAAACAAACTCAGTGGCATCCTTGGATGTTCTTTGTCTCATATTTTTTTGTCAAGGCATCATCATCATCTCCTCCTCCTCCTCCTCCCCCTCTTTCTCCTCCTCTTCCCTCTCCTCCTCCTTCTTCATCTTACAGGTCCTTTGTGTGTATTAGAGCGTCTGGTTTTGTGTTTTTATGGGACTCCTGTGTCTTTGAACATGTGTTTCTGTGTCTATATATGCTTCTGTGTTTTTTAGTAGCTCTTTCTCTTCTGCTTGTTTGCTTTGTTCTGTTCAGATGTGTTTGCTTTTGTTTTATCTTATTTTGTTATTGTTCTTCAGCGGTCTGTATGTTTTCTTTCTAATGAGAGAGAAAAAGGGTGTGGATGTAGATCGAGGGGGAGATGGGGAGGATATAGGAGCTGGGGGAAGGAAAACCATAGTAAGAATCTATTGTATAAAAAATCTATTTTTGATAAAAGAAAATAACTATGTGTTGTGAAATAATCGTTTTGTACACTGTGAAGAAGTGTCACTTGAATTGGTTTAATAAAAAGCTAAATGGCCAATAATTAGACAGGATTTTCAGGGGCAGAGAGAATACCTTGAAGAAAGATGGAAAGACACCATGAGATGCAGAGTCAGCAGAATGGACACTTCAATGGTGAAGTAATAAAGCCATGAGACAGAAAGTAAATTAATAGAAATGGGTTATTTAAGTTATAAGAGTTAGTTAGAAACAAGCCTAAGCTATTGGCCAAGCTTTCATAAGTCTCTATGTCATTATTGGAGTTGACAGTCCAACGAAAAATCTATTTACAGCTGTGTTGCTGACAGTGATCTACAGATCCAATCAATCCCTCTTTAAATTTTAATGACATTCTTTACAGAACTCAGGGTGGGTCCCAAAATTCACATGGAAGCACACACACACACACACACACACACACACACACACACACACACTAAATAGCCACAGCAATTCTGATAAAGAAAAAAAAAGAGCCACACTGGAGATATTAAAATACTGGATCTCAAATTATACTATAGAGCCACAGAAACAAAACAAAAATAGCATGGTACTGGCATAGAAACAGAGACCTGTAGATTGATGGAACAAAAGATCCAGAAATATATACGTACAGACGCAGTCTCCTGATTTTTGATAAAAGTGGAAAAATACTTTGGAGAAAATATGGTCTCATCAACAATGGTGTGCTGGGGAACTGTACATTCATGTGTATAAGAACAAAACTAATTCCCTGTGTCTTACTCCATACAAAATCAATTTAAAATGGATCAAAGACTTTAACTTTGAAACCAATATAGGAAAACACTCCAATGTCCCAGGAAACAATAGCAAAAATCAACGGATGGGAATCTAATAAATTAGTTTCTTTGTAGCAAATGACACAACCATCAGAGGGGAGAGACTGTCTACAGAACAGTGGGAAAATGTTGTCTGTGAATCACCTGATGGGATTGATATTTAGAATATATAAGAGCTCAAAATATTAAATACTCCAGACCCTATAATCTAATTTACAAATGGAAAAATTCTTAAAAGAAGCACAAATGTCCAATAAATATGTGATTCAGCATCATTAGGCATAAAGGAAATACAAGTCAAAACCACCGAGATGCCATCTTACTCAAGTCTCAGTGCTTATTATCAAGAAAACGAACAGCAATCCATTAGGATTTGTGGGGAAAGGAAGACACACTGCTTCTGGGAATGTAAATCAGAGGGTCACTATGGACATGAGTATGGAGGTTCTAAAAAAAACAAAAGCAGAGGGATGGCAAATGAGAAAAATCTACTTAAAAATAGAACTACCACACCTGAAGCATTTCTGGGCATCTGCCCAAAGGCACTAAGTCAGCAAGCACAGTGATGCCTACAACACCATATTCATTGCTACGTGTTTATGAAAGTCAAGTTTCAGAACCAGCTTTGATGTCCACTGTCAGATGAATAGGCACAGGAAATGCGACATATATACAAGGGAGTGCCTTCAGCCATGAAGAAAAAAATACATTCAACTATAGGTCACTGTGTCTAGAAAAACAAGCCAGCCTCAGAAAAGCACATTATTTTCTCTCATGTGGAATCAGACTTGTTTTTAAAGACCTTGGAAGAGGAAGGGGACCAGGAGGATGAGGAGGAGAGACAAGAGAGGGTATTAAAGAATTAATATGCTGGGGGGGAGGGCATGGGAGGAGGGGAGGGAATGGGAGAGGGACCTGGAACTGACTTATGAAGCAACCTCGTTTCTTATCTAAATTTAAACTGGAAAATAAAATATAAAAAAAGAATTAATATGCTAAGCTCATTACATACACAGACAGAAATGTCATATGGAACCCATTATTCTATACAACAAATCTACATCAATCAGAAATAAAAATGATCTTACAAAGAAGAAAAATCCTCAAAACTCAGATTTTTTTTTTGAGACAGGGTTTCTGGAGGCTTTGGAGGCTGTCCTGGAACTAGCTCTTGTAGACCAGGCTGGTCTCGAACTCACAGAGATCCGCCTGCTTCTGCCTCCCAAGTGCTGGGATTAAAGGCATGCGCCACCGCCGCCCAGCTAGATGTTTTCTTTTTTTGTGGGTTTGTTTTGTTTTGTTTATTGAGACCGTGTTTTATTGTGCAGCCCTGGCTGTCCTGGAACTAACTCTGTAGATCAGGCTGGCCTCAAACTCACAGAGATCTGACTGCCTCTGTCTCCCAAGAGCTCTCAGCCTCCACAGATGAGGAGACTGAGGGAAAAAGGTAAACTAATTGCCTGAGGACACACCACTGGTAAAATGCACTGGGGTTAGAACCCAGAGAATCTGGCTTCAAAACCTATGCTTTGAACCCCACCCTAATGGTGAAGAAAATAACATTTCATACTGAGTTACACATCAAATGCCATTCTAGTAATCAAGCTGACCAACGCAAAAGCCTTGCTTGCTTAACTGATCGAATTTCAGTTCTTGGGAGGTCCAGAAATTTCATAGCAATTAATTGAAGAACTCTCTGAGAAAGACAGCATTCTGGCCTTGGGCAGACACTACCCTCACATTCTGGCCTTGGGCAGACACTACCCTCACATTCTGACATTGGACAGACACTACCCTCACATTCTGACATTGGACAGACACTACCCTCACATTCTGACATTGGACAGACACTACCCTCACATTCTGACATTGGACAGACACTACCCTCACATGCTGACATTGGGCAGACACTACCCTCACATTCTGGCTTAGGACAGACACTATCCTCACATTCTGACATTGGACAGACACTACCCTTACATTCTGACATTGGACAGACACTACCCTCACATTCTGGCTTAGGACAGACACTACCCTCACATTCTGACATTGGACAGACACTACCCTCACATTCTGACATTGGGCAGACACTACCCTCACATTCTGACATTGGGCAGACACTACCCTCACATTCTGACACTGGACAGACACTACCCTCATATTCTGACATTGGACAGACACTACCCTCATATTCTGACATTGGACAGACACTACCCTCATATTCTGGCTTAGGACAGACACTACCCTCACATTCTGACATTGGGCAGACACTACCCTCACATTCTGGCTTAGGACAGATACTACCTTCATATTCTTTTTGTGTATTTGTTTGTTTGAGACAGAGTCCCCCAGTGTGCCAGGCTTGCCTCACATTCATTGTGTAGCCTCTGCTGGCCTTGAACCCCTTCCTGCTGACCTCCCACGTGCTGAGATCCAATGCATTCTCTCAGAGCCTCTTCCACCCTCAAGAGACCATGCCACGGTGCTGTGCACACAGCATACCTGCCCATGCAGCTTGGATTCCAACACCAGGCCCCACAGGTCTGCTGTGGTGGTGGTGTGGCCCTGTTCTGCCCGAAGCTTCAGTGCCTGGTGGTAGCTTGCCAAGTTTTCAGGGGAGAATTCCCTCCACAGGCTCTTAGCCACATGTTCCCTGGCATGGCTGATGGGTCCGTCCAGGTCCTTCTGTGACCATTCTGGATCCTGGTACAGGTGGGCCATTGTCCTGGAGGGCAGGGTCACAAGGGAATAAAAGGTAGGGCCCAGCACAGGCTCTGCAACCCCACCCTGTGCCTAATCCCTAAAGGAGGGGTTGCTGAGCTCCCACTGCCTAGAAGGTCCACCTGGAGACATGCCTTGGGATTTCCTTCTAGTCCTGGGCTGTCCTGGGTATGAAATGGGCCTTGTATAGGTTTGCTGTGGTTTGGGGTTTGTTTGCTGGTTTGAAAATGATGTGAGCCCTAAGCTGAAGGTCCTAGTGTGAGGTGGCCTTAGGCCAGTGCCTGCATGTGCTGCCTTCTGTCAGCCTGTGAGTGTGTATCTTATCACACAGGTTTGGATATGAACCAATTGAGAGTCAGAGAAATTGTCCAAGGCTACCCAAGCCTGCAGATAGTCTGCCAAAAGCAAATCCAGCCTCCTCTGGGCCCTCCTTCCTGCTCCTTAGTACATAGGAAAAGCCCTATGATGTCACTGTGCATGACTTCCTGTTAAGTCTGTTTCTTCCTTTTGAGAAAGCTGCTTGGTCCCCATCAGGTCATACTGCTGTATCCACATAGGATCCCCATACAAAGGCCCCCTGACATCCACTCTGTCCCTACTCTGAGCCCTGGTCATTTCTAAATTTTTTTTTTGGTTTTTTTGAGACAGGGTTTCTCTGTATTGTTTTGGAGACTGTCCTGGAACTCGCTCGGTAGACCAGGCTGGCCTCGAACTCACAAAGATCCGCCTGCCTCTGCCTCCCAAGTGCTAGGATTAAAGGCTTGCACCACCAACGCCCGGCTTTTTTTTTTTTTGGTCATTTCTGATGTTCCAGTCTCTGTGACCCTTACCATGTAGAGCCTGAGATGCCACTGAAATAAGTCACACAGTCCAGGAGTCCCAACTTCTGAAGCGCTAATAGGTGGCCATAGAGTGATACCATAGCCCGGACACCTCCTCCCTCAGCCATGATGCCCACAACAGGAACCTGGACCACACAGAGATGCAGACTTGCTTAACAAGATGGAAATAAGCTGCCCTCTGCCTCACTCAGGGACCCGGCCTGTTCCCTGCCTCCAGGAAAGGGCCTTGTAGTCAGGGACTGATGGAGTTATCATAGGTCTGAGGGACAGCCCTCAGCACAGAGCAGAGCCCCATAGAGATCAGGAGCCCCATCCTCCCCAACAGTCCACCTCCACTCTTTTAAGAATGGAAGAGCACCGATCAGCCCAAAATTTCTATACCCACATCCCTGCTGTCCCCCCAAACCTCATCTTCCTTCAAGTCTTCATCCAATCGCAGGGCCTGCTTCAAGGCGGCGGCCACCACCCGCTTCCTCCTGCTCAGGAAGGCCTGCTCCTCTGGGCAGAGCCCACAGCCCAGCCGCACAGCCAGTTCCTTGGGGCTGAGATGGTGGAGAAAACTGCATAGGTCACTCTTTGGGTGACCAAGCTGTGGTGAGCTTCTGAAAAAACCTCCCTCTACCTGCAAAAAGCACCTGTTGCATAGCAAGTCCCCCTCTTGGTCCCACAGAGATCAGTGTCCTTACCAGCAGTCTGTCCTAAGCTGCAGCTTCACTTCTGGGACCTGAAATCAAAGCCAGAGACTCTGTTCAGAACATCCTACACCCTGCAGGAGACATAGGTATCTCTGGGGCGTGTAACATCTCCGTTCCATTCCTATTGGCACGTCCCCTCCAGCTGAGGCCACTTACATTTGTAGCAGGAATGTCTACAGTCACCTCCTTCCCTGTGGTCAAGGACTTCAGGGGTACATTGAGGAGTATAGCTGAGGTATTTGAGTTCCAGCCATTGTTTCTGGAGCTCTGAAGGGAAACATTCATCCATTCATTCATTTATTCACTCATTCAACAAATTCTGAGTGTCTATACTGCAAACCAGACAGCCCTTCCCTGATAATACAAAACTAATTATAATCATAAATAATGATGGCTGATACTACTTGCAAAGACACTGTTCTTACTAAATCAAATGTCAATTTGTAAAGAAATGGGTCATGGCTGGGAGTGGTGGTGCATGCCTTTAATCCTAGCTCTTGGGAGGCAGAGACAGGTGAATCTCTGAATTTGAGGCCAGCCTGGTCTGCAGAGCCAGTTCCAAACCATCCACTAGTAAGACCCTCTCTAAAAATATTTTTCAAAATAAAAGAAATGGGTAATGTCAGTAGTGTGATGTCAGTAATGAGCTGATGTCAGTAGTGTGATGTCAGTAATGAGCTGATGTCAATAGTGTGATGTCAGTAGTGTGATGTCAGTAATGAGCTGATGTCAGTAGTGTGATGTCAGTAATGAGCTGATGTCAGTAGTGTGATGTCAGTACATCATAGCATTATAGGGTAGGATATTGTAAACAAAGGGGGTATGGGAATATGTCTGTAAGGAAGGGGGGTCCTGGAGGCCATCTCTGAAGAGTTGTTGTTTGGGTTAAGAAGGGGAGGAGAAGAAACCAGGGGCAAAAGAGGATGAGGAGGTATTGGAGGGACCCAGAAGACCCAAAAAGCACTTGGCATGTTTGAAAAACAAAGGGAGAGAAAGAAGGCTGGAGCATCAAGGAGGACCTTGAACAAAATGAGACAGTGGAGGTGGACAAGGCCAGGCTGCACAGACTGACTGTGTGAGCATGGACAGGTTTTTATTCTACCAACACTAGTTCCTCTGACGGAGAAGCCATCAGAGCACCAAAAGATTGACACCATGTAGCTGTGCCCAAGCCCCTGTTGATGTTCCCTATCTTCCAGGGTATGGGACTAACTGAGAGAGGCTGACAAGAGCACAAGAGGCCTGATTTTTTTTTTTTTTGGTTTTACGAGACAGGGTTTCTCTGTTTTGGAGGCTGTCGGTCCAGCCTGGCCTCGAACTCACAGAGATCCGCCTGCCTCTGCCTCCCAAGTGGAGGCCTGATTTTTGTAGGGAAAAGGGCAGTGAAAGGCTAAGGATGGTGGGAGAGTTGGAGAGAGAGACTCACCCTCAGGCACCCACTCAGCTCTGTGTCTTGGCCCCTCAAGTAGTGGAAGCTGAAGGTAGAGGCTGTGTCCAGGGCAAATGTCTGTGTGTCTTCATATGACCCTTTCAGCACAAGCTCCAGCTCTAGTTTTTCCTGACCTAGGGAAGAGATGGAAAATATGAGAACAAGGGGGGAATGACCCTAGCTCCATCTTGGAACTGGGATACCAGCAAAAGTGCTTATTTGTAGAGGTGGAGGCTGGACCACAGTAAGCGGGACCCAAAGAGGGCCTTCCCCAGCCTGCTGCATGGCACAGACCCATGGGACTCCCACCTATGCCAGAGATGCCCCTTACCTTTCAGGCTCCCCAGCAGCCTATGCTCCCTACGGTCCAGGCAAAGTTCAGAAGTTCTCACCTGCTGCCATGGTGGTGCTCTCATCTCTGTCCAGACAGACATCCAGGCGTGACAGTTCTCGGGCCTGGGGCAGACCGCATCATTGGCAAGGTATCCCCAGGGCAAGCTGAGGTCCCCTCTACCTCAGCTCTGGGCCCCACTGAGTCTCAGTCAAACCCACCACACATGTAACAAGAAGTGGGGTTCGGAATGGACTAGACAGAAAACACCTCACCCATCTCTGACCTGCTGTAAACTGCTATGCCTGTTCTCCATCCCATGCCCACCCCACCCTATTCTTAGCTTTACTGAGTCTCTGGAAGCTCTGAAAGCCCCCAGCTCTCAGGCTCAGGTCTCTCTCTGCTACGTCTTCAGTCTTCATCCTACGGACTCCCAAGTAGTATGTGGGAACCCCGGGTCCTGGGCTGGAGGTGTCAGAGAAGTACTCAGAGCCACAGTGACCAGAGAATCCTTGATTATCCTCAGTTACACTGACTTGCCTTCCTATTCTCCCTGAAGCTCAGTGCCTGGTGTTGCTTTGTTCAGCCTTTCCAACAGAACCGGCTCTAACTACCCACTGCTGTCCCCACAGCCTCTGCACAGGTTACTCCACTGCATGGGATATTTTGTTGTATCTTTGACACGAAGTCTCAATATGTAGCCCTGGCAGGACTGGAACTCACTGTATAGACCAGGCTAGCCTCAAATCCATGGCAGACATCCACCACGGTGCCAGTTACACTGTGAATTCCTTTTAAAGGTGAACTAGCCATCAGACCAGCTCTTGCAAGCTCTGGGGTGAGTGCTCCTGAAAGTTCCTGAGGTGTGCTCCAGGGATAGCTTCAGGTTTTATTCACCTAATGTCTCCTGTTATGAACCCCACACCCAGTAGGCAGATTCCTATGCAGCACTCACCACCTTGTGGTCATTACTACCCACTGCAGTTTCATGGGATCTCGAGGAGCTAAGAGACAGGCTAACACATCACACTAGAAACTCCCTCCAAACCTCGGTGACCTCAATTTTAATAAATGAAGATGGGCCTGGCACGCAGGACTTCACTATGACTTTAAGGAAGTTAATCCCCAAGGACTCTGCTCATTGGCATAACTAAGTATCTTCAGAAAACACCTAAATTTTCTCCACAGTCCCTAGGTATCCAGTCAGAAGCCAGAACTGTCTCGGCACCGCCACCTGCCCCCTTTCAACTGCCCCTCAGCTCTAGACCCTCTAAGCCCCACAGCTTCAGGCAACCACCTGGTTGGTGATCTGGGGTCGTTTGAACACAAAGCCCTACCCTTGTCTTCTCCCTTTCCCTCCACGTCCCAGAATCCCAACCCCAATTTCCTCTCCTCTGAATCTCCCCGTCCGAGTCATAGGAAGGTCGTTACCACAAGAACATTGTTGGTGATGAGGTTTTCTGGAGGATCCAACCTGGAAAAGTCAAAACATCCATTCTGGATATACAGAAGCAAAAGAGTTCTGCATTCACCTGCTCTCGCTGTTTGAGTTCCCATCCACAGGGAATCGCCCTGGGTGACCCAAGATGAGGGGAGATGCCACTATGGAAGGCCGGGTGAAGGGAGAGCACAGGGCAGGGGAAGTGGCAGCCACCTCCTCCTTGATGCCAAGGGGACCCAGACCTCACTGGCAGGGGTGGAGAGGTGAAGGAGGGTGGCTCAGCTGGACACACCAACAAGGAATCTGGGTCAGGGCCAGTTTCCTGAGTAGGGCTCGTGTCCCCAGCCACTCCCTGGGCTGTTCATTCTTACTCACATTTTTTCCATCAGGAACTCTACATCTAACTCTTCTGGTCCCTGTAACCAATGGGGGCGAGCAAGTCATCAACATTCCCAGCTGACCCTGTTCTCTTAAAAACATATCCCACCGTCTACAGCAGTCTCTGAGGAAGGTGTGCGATTACAATTATTTCCAGTACAAACTGAGGAAATAGCAGTCTAGCTATTATTTAGCAAGATAAGCTCCTTGCTAAAATCCCCAAGGCTAGTGGGACTAGGAGGACATATCTTCCTTCTAGGTCCACAAACCCTAATGGGGCTGAAGGCAAAAGTCAAGCTCAGCCAAAGGTGACGCGAGGATATCCAGGTCTGATTTCTTTTCCCTGTTGAGGAGCCCCATGCCCCCCCACCCCCGCCGCGTGCGCTCCCCAACCCAAAATTCTCCCCTCCCCTCCCTAAGCCTGCAGCAGGAAGTCAAATCAGACCTTGGTGGAGCAGCCCTGAACCTCTTGTGCAGGAGTGATGAGCCTGCACTGCCCCCCTCGTGGTTGCACTGAGCAATGTTTTGAGGGCTATCCTGCAAGTGACTAAAAGATTAGCATGGAGTAATGCTGGAGGCACTATCTGCTAGACCAGCCCGTTTCCTGTTCCAATGAAAACCTGCTCCTGCCAGGTGAACGAGTGCAGCCAGCAGCATCCTGGCAACCAGGAAATGTTGAGCAATTTCCTCAGCCTGGAGCCGTCTCACCCACCTGAGGATTCAGGCGGAAGGTTTTCTGGAGCAGTTGGCCAGGGAAGATTTCTGAGACATCATAGGAAACTTTGAAGCAGATGTCATCTTTCACAATTAGGTCTTCATCATAGACAGTCAGTTCTAGAATGTTCTAAGGGCCAGGAAAATAACATAGTATCAATTTATTGCAACAATACCTCACATGCAAGTGTAAAAACAAGTATAAGGAAACCAGGTAAGGTCCTTAGTTCCTACTCACATTTTTTATTGAATATTTTATTTAGTATTTATACAAGAATATAAGGTGTTTGGATCCAATTTACCACCACCCCACCCCTCCCTTTCAATTCCTCCTTTATTCACAACTCCCCCCATCTTCACATATTTTCTCATGTTCTCTCCATCTCTCTCTCTGATTTATTACCTACTGAGTCATTTAGTACTGCCTGTATGCGCACAAGCACAGGACCATCTACTGGATGGTAGCCCCTCAGGGCCAGAATCCCTAGAGAAAGCTGACTCTTCTCCCAGCTGCCATCAACTGCTGATAGTTCCTGGGATGGGGCGGGACTTTATGAGCCCCTCCCTGACCCAAGTTCTGTTTTATCAAGAATAAAAGCAGACTGAGGGTTCACTCCTGTAATCACAGCCCTTGAGGGTTACTGCAGGAGGACTGGTCTGGCCTGAAATACACAAGGCTAGTCTCAAACACGTGTGTGTGTGTGTGTGTGTGTGTGTGTGTGTGTGTGTGTGTATGTGTGTGTGTGTGTAAGTATCTTGAAGAATTTCTTCCTAGGTAGAGCATGGTGGATCATGTCTGCAATCTAGCAGCCAGGAGGCAAAGATAGGAGAGTATTACTGTAAATTTAATACCAGCCTAGCTACTTAGTGAGATCTAAGCCTTCCAAACCTATGTAAAAAGAGCCTGTCTTAAAAAAGCAAAAGCAATCGGCTGGGTGTTGGTGGCACATGCCTTTGATCCCAGCACTCTGGAGGCAGAGTCAGGTGGATCTCTGTGAGTTCAAGGCCAGCATAGACCCTATCTGACATAACAAGACCCTTTTTGAAAATAGAAAACAAGAAAAAGAAAAAAACCAACAAACAAAAACATTTTTAAATTTCTTTGGGGGCAGGCAAAATGGTTCAGTGGGTAAAGGCACCTGCCAGCAAGGCAAAGGGAGAGACCGACTCCCAAAAAGTTGTTCCCTGACCTCCACATGTGGGCTGAGGTACCACAGAATAAACAAGCAAATGTAGTTTAAACTTGGGGAAAGCTTTCAACTCGTCTGCTTGGATAGTTCCCCAACACACCCCAACCGCAAGTGCTAAGCACTGTGTGACAGTTGTCTATAGTCCCCTTTAGCCCCACGGGGCCCGGCAAAGAGGAATGCTTTCTATTCCACATCATACATGGGTTTAGGGGGGAAGCAGCAGCTTGCCACACATCAGCCCCACAGCTTCACGCATGCTGTTGTCCACAGCACATAGTCTGGAACACAAAGACACCCCTCCCCTGAGTCCCCCCCCCCCCCCCAGTACCAGAACAATCCTGCTTGATCCCAAGACACTCCTGTGGGTGAAAGAGCCATGGGCTGTCTACAAGTGAGTGGCTAGAGCTACCCCGACCTTTACCTTGACCTGACTCTGGATGAGGAAGTTGAAGGTCTCATTCCATACAGGGTGACTGGAGTTGGTGACAGTTTTGGTCTTGAATTTCATTCCAGGAGCTGTTGGCAGCAGTAGAGTCACATATGGATCTGCCTTACTCACTGACAAAGTCAAGGGAACCATCCATCAGATGAGAGAACTCTGTACATCTTTTCTAGGGGTTTTGCCCAGGTTCCTATGGCAACCTCAGTATCCAAGGCAAACAGGCCCCACCCCAAAGAATGCCTGGTGCTTTCCCTTGGGATCCAGTTCCTATCCACAGATAATCACTCACACAGGTCAGCCCTAGGCAGACTCCGAGCCTCCAGGATCTTCACTGTGAGCTTCCAGAAGCCAGCAGCCTCCTCCTGCAAAGAGACCCTAAGCCCCTGAGTTCCCCGGCAGCCTCTCAAACCTGGAGATGCTGTCCAGGTTCTGGCCTTTGGGAAACACCTCTAGAAAACAAATAGCCGTTGTCTGTCGCTGTCCTTGGTGTTATGATTCTGACCTTTGCAATCATGGAATGGAAGATCACCTGGGGGTAGTTCTGGTAGGGTCTTCTCTTCAGACACAAAATCCCAAGTATGGTAGATGGTCACAGTCAGACCTTCCAGAGAGGGCTGTCCTTTTTTGAAGCAGTCCCCTCCCTGTCCCTTTGTGCCTCCAGGTGGGCTGGGCCAAGGGAACCCAATGGCCCTTGGTATTCACAACTCCCAAGTGTGAACGAATGGCTATCCTCTGAGCCAAGCAACTGCCATCTTTGGGAGTTCAGCTTTGCCCTCTTGCCAAAGGATTATTCCGGTGGTCTTTTTGTTTGTTTGTTTGTTTTTGTTTTTGTTTTTTTTTGGTTTTTCGAGACAGGGTTTCTCTGTGACTTTGGAGGCTGTCCTGGAACTAGCTCTTGTAGACCAGGCTGGCCTGGAATTCACAGAGATCCACCTGCCTCTGCCTCCCAAGTGCTGGGATTAAAGGCGTGCGCCACCAACGCCCGGCAATTCTGGTGGTCTTATTGACTGTTTACACCCCTCACAGAATAGGGAACATGGGACCCTCGCCTGAGCACCCAGAGACTCTCTTCTACCTGTTGCATGCAACTTCCATTAATGACACATGGCCTCCAGGAGGGCCACCTATGTAACCATGAGAAAGCCATCAATCCCTGCTTTTCTGATGTTTGGGGGGAGAAGCACCCACACTCCTTAGTTAACCCTTCACCTATGGGCTGATCATACTTCAGTTAGTTGTTGAGATCTTGGGAAGAGGGGTAGCCATTATTTATGTCTTTCCCCAGGAAGGAGTTTGAATAACACTGTGGCTCAATCATCTGTAACTCATTGGCCATGAGTTGCCAACTCCAAGAAGGTCGTGTCAGTACAGAGAATGGAGGGTGGAAGGCCATTGTGTGTTAAGATGCTCATGAGTCGAGTGAGACCTCAGATAAGCCCAAGAGAAAGCAAACGAGTGGGTGGCAAGAGAGCAGGAGGGCAGCAGTGTCCGGCTGGCAGAGCCCACACCAGCTGAAATCCCTAGCACTCCTGGGACTCCCTGTTTTCTTCAATTTGGGGTTGGTTACCCAGTTTTTTTTCTTGGTGACCTACAAAAACAGGCCCCATAATCTGAGGTGACTCACATGGGCCTGGCAGGATTCTGGGCTGACTGAAAGGAAAGCCATTGGCCTTGCGTCATCTTGACAGAGAGCCTGCCAAAAGGACCACATCTGTGGGTGCTTGGTTCCGTCAGGAAGAGTCCACATGGGGAGGACCCTTAGAATGGGTCTGTAGGAAGGACATTATGTGCAGTAGCAGCTCCCAGCTGAAGGGGGACTAACCGGGGCCATAGATGGCAGGATCCCCCCCCCACAAGGGGCACCACTTACATGAGGGCACATGACCCATTAGCTCTGGGGAGAATCCACTGAAGTGCCTCTGCATAAGAAAACCCCAGACTGGGCCTTCTGCCACCAAATTAGACCCACACTGACCCTGAATGAGAAAGAGCTCCTGGGACACTCATCTCCTCCCTCCCCATGTGCTCTCATCCAAGGCAGCCAGAAACTCATGGTGAGCAGAGGGCTCTGTAAGCAGGGAGACAGGTACTGCAAAGCTAAGATGCTTTCCTGCTGTGCCTCTGTCACTGCTCCACAGCCTGCCTGGCCAGAGGTTCTTGTGCCTCTGGAACATATCTGGTTTTGCACAGATGCTTCCTACTAGAGTCTGAGTGTGGGGAACCCAAAGCACTTCTGCCATAGGGAACTGCAAAGGGTGACATCCAAAGCAGAATGACTCAGAAGGTGGCCTGTCCCAGCACTTTCCCCTCCCGCTCTGTGGCTGTGTGCTGAATTTTCCTGTCATTTCTCTCTGTCCCTGTCTCTCTGTCTCTGTCTCTGTCTCTGTCTCTGTCTCTCTCTCTTTCTTTCTCTCTCTCTCTCTCTCTCTCACACACACACAAACACACACAGACACACAGATGTGATTAATTTTAGCAATGCCAGCAACATTCCAACCCCATAGTCCTTAAGCTAGAAGTAATGATTGTCAGGAAATCAGTCAATTTTTAGACACCTGGCTCCATGTCCTTCACTGCCTGACACACAGATGATGACTGAGATGATGCTGGCCTAGGAGCAGTGTGGGGTTTCAATGGCCCTCTCTGAGACAGAGGACCAGCACAGGCATCAGGGCCTCACTCACCTGCTTCTCCAGCCAGGCTAAGACCCCACAAACCCATAGCCCATGACTGCTTTAACAACTTGAGAAGGGTCTGGGAGATGGCTGTGCCTACTGCTCAAACAAGAGTCCCTGAATTGGGATTGATTCCCAGCCCAACATAGAAGCCAGACATGGTGTTGTGAGTCTCTAACCCAGTGCATGAGAGAAGAAAAAGAGAGAATCCCCACACACTTTCCCCTGTGACTGTGGTGGGGCTCAGCCGGAGTGCAGGGGGGCGGGGGACGGGCAAGGCAGATGCTGTGGCCAGAGCTCCCTGCCCAGTTCCTCAGAATCACACCAAAGCTCCTCACAGAACCAGTCTCTGGTGCCAACCACTCTCCTGCTACCAGGGAATGCTCCAGTCCCCAGTCAGCAGCAAAGAAGACCAGGAAGCAACCGTTGGAGCTCGCCTGTTTTGGGAGACATTTTGCCAGCTAGGAGGGCAGGACGTATTAGTCAATCATATTAGTCAAAAGTGCCCAATCCTGGAAACACCAGTTTCCAGCAAGGTGCTTCCCAGATATGGGGCAGATTCAGGTCCCCAAACTCCTGAACCTGAGTATTTGTTTACTCCTGGGTCTGGAGGAGGAAGGAGAAGGATAAGTGGCCTATCCCAGGGAAATCAGGTGGAACTCCAGGAATTTCACCAACCATTATGGGATGTGGGGCTCCTAAGAGGAGGGAGCAATAGAGTCAGGACCAGCCAGCCCCTCCACTACCCTGTCACATAGGGATGTCCCCACTGATGGCTGACTTGGGGATGGCAAGGACAACAAATCTTGTCTTCCAGTGGATACATCTCTCTCCACCTCCCCCCCCCACTCCCTGGTATCCAGTCTGCAGTGTCCAAGTCTTTTCCAGGATCTGCTTGCTCCACTGAGAAACCCATCAAGGTCTGCAAATGAAGAAAAGGGCCTTGGAGAACCACTTTGGATACTTCCTGGAGCACTAGGAACAGAGGAACTATTCCTGATGGCCTTGGTCTCTAGTACAGGAAGAGAACTCTGGGCTGAGAGGAGGAGCGAACAGTTTGTGGATTCCTTGGCCTAGATGCAGCCTCAGAGCTCTTGGGACCAGAAAACAATTGGCATGTAGATTTAAGATATTGAGACCCACAAGGCTCCAGCTAGTTCTAGGAAGACAGCTGGCCTGTGGCGGTGAGTAGTAGGCCCTAGGCCTGGTGAGTGCCCTGAGGCAGGAACAGAAGTAGCAGCCCTGAGAGAGCACCCCTAGGAGGATGCTCTGAGGGAGCACTCCTGAGGATGCTGCTGCCTGTTCACCATGGTGGTGAGCAGAAGCTGTCTCATGGTCCCTGGGTCTCCACTTCTGTGGGCACTGATTCCCTCCTACCCACTCCATTCCTCCAAACACCAATCCCTTTCCTTCAGCCCACACGGAGACTAATGCCACCCTCCTTTCAGGGACAGCATGCTTGTTGGTCCCAGGCTCTCCCTGATTGTTGGCCACTGTCCTGATACTGTTACCTGGTGAGGATGACCAGATAGTTTCTCAGATGACAAGCTCTCCATGCCAACCCGTCTATCTTGACTCCACAGCCAACTTCTTCCAAGACGCCAGCTCTCTGGCTGGGCGCAGTAACTGTCCCAATGGAATGGGGCCAGCTGTGATTCTCTGCCCATCCTGGAGGAACTGTGGTTCTATAGACAGGTAACTCCACCCCCAGGTCCCTACCACACAAGTACTTCTCATCTTCCTCAAAAGGTTGACTTAACCAGAAACCTCTGGCAGAACACCAGGCCTCATGGGCGGAGCGTTCTTCCTAGAGCTGAAGTGTCAGGAAAGAGGCACCAAGGAAGGATGGACAGACAGTGGGCAGAAGCTGGTTTCCCTGAGGCACGGGGCAATGCTGAAGAAATCTTTGTAGCTCAACCCTGTCTGAGTCAGGCTGGCCCTGGGGAAAAGGACTGGCTCCTGAGCTCACGTAAGAGGAAGGATCTCTTGGTGCACCGTAGAACAAGGAATTTAGGCTCTATGTAAAAAGCAACCGAGGTGGGCACCGTGCTCACAGCCCCTCGCCGCCACTGCCACTCACATTCTGCTTCAGCAGGGCTTCCCTTTTCTCCCTCCCTCCCTCCCTGTGTGTGTGTGTGTGTGTGTGTGTGTGTGTGTGTGTGTGTGTGTGTGTGGTGTTCACCAAACAGAAAACTGAGAGTGGTCTATGAACAAGTGAAAAGTGGCTGAGTAAGAAATATTTCTAACTTTCACAAACCGGGTGTAATATCAGAGAGAAATGTGAGCTGGGTATAGTGGGAGCACGCAAGAGGCAGAGACAGGAGAATAGCCTTGAGTTCAAGGCTAGCTTGATCTACATAGTGAATTCTAGACTAGCCTGGAACATATAGTGAGACCAAGTCTCAAAAATCAGAAAGAAAAGAAGGGAGAGAGGAAAGGAGGAAAAGTGTGTGTGTGTGTGTGTGTGTGTGTGTGTGTGTGTGTGTGTGTAAGAGAGAGACAGAGAGGGACAGAGAGAGAGAGAGACAGAGAATATAAACAAACTTTCCAACTGTAAGGCTGAAACTGCTGAAACTCTGCTTCAGACTCCCAGCAGGCCCACAGGCTTCCGGTGGGTGACGGGAGATGTTTAGGATTCAGGACTTACCCACGACCATTTCCAAAGAATTCCCCGAGAAACCTAGGATTTGACTTTGTTGGGATACCACGTGCTATAAAGCTCACTCCACAAATACCCTTTGTGGACTGTGAGTAAGAAGCTAAAGTGGGAAGCCAGCTCAGAAGACCAGAACAGGAAGACAGACAGCAAACATATCTGGAAGTGGTGGCTCAAATGGGCCTTGCAGGTCAGCTGGGCTGAGACAAGGCCACTTGTCTTCACCTCAGGCAGTAAGTTGCTCAATGCAGGGACATGTAGAGCAGTCCTAGCCTAAGCTGCCAAGCTGAAGGAGGTCTTAGGCACCCGTCTTCCCCATGCCAGCCTGCTTCTCTCCTGCTGGGTTCTCTCCCTCCCCCCAGTCTTCTCCAAGTTTGCTCTGTGCAAATTAAGAGAGAATATTTTTTCATTCAACATTCACGGCTGCTTACTTTTCCCATTTCTTCTCAGAAACCAGCCCTTCCCCTGTACTCTGCTCATGGTTTGAGAGCCCTAGCTTCAACAACGTAGACTGTGGGCTGGAGAGATGGCCCAGCACGTCCCATTCCCTCAAAGGACCCATGGTGTGCTCCCAGCACCCACACTGGGGGGCCCATAACGGCGTGGGACTCTAGCTCCAGGGGATCTGAGGCCTCTTTTGCAGGCTCTGGCATGCATGTGGTACACATACATACATTCAGGCATGCACACACACACACACAAATTAATATATAAAAATTTCAAAATCATAGAGTGCAGTATGTGGCCCAAAGCTGTCTAGCTCATGGAACTGCCTTGACCATGGTGTTTGGGTCAATGAACTCATGACCCAAGCTGGTGTGAGCAAATTCTGAGTGCATAAAATTCTAGGAGACACTCTGTCTTTCCTGCTGGACAAGAACCTGGGAGGAGATGAAGTTGGGGCTGCTGGTCTTAGCAGTCACCACAAGAGATTTCAACACCTTCCAGAAAAAGAGCCAATGATAATACTGCACACTTCTCCAATGCTTACTTTACTAAGTGCTGGGCTGGGCAGAGGTGGTTGTTTGAGGCATGATGTCATTTAAATTTGTCCTCTAGTATGTCCCTCCCAAGGCCTCACTATTATGTTCTTGAGATCATTTATGTCCCAGTCGGCTTTCTGTTGCTGTCATAAATACCATGACCAAAAAGCAACTTGGAGAGGGAAGGGTTCATTTTGTCCTAAAACTCACCGTTCATGAAAGGAAGTGGGGTCAGGAACCCAAGGCAGAACTGAAGCAGAAACCATGGAGGCGTGCTGCTCGCTGGCTTTCTCCTCAGGAGTTGCTCAGTTTGTTTTCAGGACCACCTGCCCAGGGTGGCCCCGCCCACAGTGAGCTGGGCTCTCCCACACGAATCATCAATCAAGGAAACGTTCCACAGACATGCCTACAGGCCAGTCTGATGGAGGCATTTTCTCAATCGGGGTTTCCTCATCCAGGGTCGACTTGACCCAAATTAACCAGCATGTATGTGCTAATAAAACTTGTCAAAGAAAGCAGTTTATCCAGGACAGGGGAGGACATCTGCCTTCCTATTACTCTTTAGCAGGGAGCTATGAAGGAGGTATGTTTAGGATCCAGGTAAGGAGAAGTGGGGGTAGAACCCCTGACTTCAGGTTTGTAGGATGTGTTCATGGAGCTGACAGTCAGTTTCACATGTGCCTACCACCCACTGTGCCAACACATCTGGCACTGTGACCAATGAGCCAAGGCCATTGGTTGAACTGAGTTGTAGATGTGTTTTTGTCTCCAGAAGACTTGAGCAGAAGAAAACGGAAAGGTCTGAAATACAGAGACTCAGAAAGCAGACTGAAAAGCCCTTTGCTTTTAATTAGCTTTTACAGATGTTTTATTGATGCCTGATTGAGACAGAAGTTCCACCCTGAAAAGAGGATTTTGTTTGTTTGTTTGGTGGTTGGTTTTTGTTTGTTTTATTTCTTGAGGTGAATATTTTTTAGGCAGGGTCTCAGGTAGTCCACGCTGGCCTCAAAGCTGGCTCTGAACCCTGGATCCTTCTGTTTCCCACTCTGGAGTGCTGGGATTACACATATGCCCACCTCATTTGTTCTACCGTGCTTTCTACAATGTAATGATTGTGTTGTTTTTATCCCCTTCTCAGATAGGAAATTCAAGAAATAAGATGTAAGTTGGTGTGGTGGTGCATACTTCTCTGCAATCCTAGCACTTAGTAGTCTGAGGCAGGAGGATTGCTGCTACTTCAAATTCAACTTGGGAAATATAGCCTCTGCCCTCTAAAAAGCTAAATACTAGCACCACCATTATTACTAATATAATAAATAACAATGATAGACCAGGCTGGCCTTGAGCTCATCTCAGAGGGTCAGAGATCCACCTGATACTGCCTCCCCAGTGCTGGGATTAAAGGCATGTGTCACCACACCCAGAAGATGGTAACTTTGATTAGCTACTAATCATCCCTAAAGTCTTAGCCTGACTAGGTGATAGACTGCTACCTATTTGCACTAAAGATGAGTGCAGTAGTGGAGGAGTATGCAACCAACTGTGAAAGTGATGTGCAGATTCGCAGCAGCTGATCCATAGGTATCATCAGGATGTGTAAAGAGAAGCCTTTTTCTTTGAGAGGAGCCTTCCTGCCAGCCTGGTTCTAGAGCCGCATCAGTCCCAAATAAACACACAGGAGGCTATATTAATTATGAAGCTGTTGGCCTTGCTTGTTTCTTACTGGCTAGCTCTGACTTAAGTAATTACCCCATAATTGTTAATCTAAGTATTTCTCTTACCGGAGAATAGTTCCGGGCTTCCTACCCCATGGCGTTACATCTCGATTCTCTGTGTTCCTCCTTCCCAGAGTTCTCCTGGACTCCTAGTCCCACCTATCTAGATTCCCTATTGGCCAGACAGTGCTTTATTGACAAATGCACAGGACTTCCCCAACATCTCCTCTTTTCTGTTTAAACAAAAAGAAAGGTCTTAACTTTAGCATAGTTAAATTATATATAACAGAACAGTTATCAAGTAAGAACATAGTTACAATATTTTAGCAAGATTTAAAGAAAATATCATCTATCTCATTCTTGTGAGTCCAAAGTCCTATATGTAGCTTATCTTTTATCATAACTAAGGAAAACTACAATTATAACTATCTATCTTCAACTCTATCAAAGACCACAGAAGGATAATGTATAAACACTAGGAATGACAGAGACATCTTACTGCCTGGACATTCACCTGAAGTTCCTCCGTATTGTCGAGGCATCCATCTTCAGCCCATAGGCCACAATGCATCCAGAAGATTTCTTAGCAAAGCAGGAAATTTCAAACTGTCCATCTGCATTGGCAGTCTGTCAGTCATTTTTCTGTGTCCTGCAGAAAGTCTGGTAGACTCTTCCATGAAGCAGGAACCATGTAAGACTGATTTCAGCAGTCACTTTTCTGTGGGTCCTGCATGTCCAGATTATACAACAACAGTCAAGCAGTACAGGCAAGAGAAGTTTCCTGCCTAAATGGCTAATCTTGCCATGTTGAAAGCAAACTCCATAACAAGTTTCTTCGATGCCCATCTTCCTTTCAGACGTAATTGGTGCTGCCAGGAGCAGACATTTCTCATTGTCAAGAAAAACCCTAAACCATTTTAAATGCCATTTTCTGAAGGTCTTTGAAAGGTTTGAAGACTATCTATCTGTCTCAAATACATCTCTATATATCTAGAAAACCTAACTTACCTAACTATAAGTTCTACTATAAGTAACTATAGTCTGTATTCAATTATGCATTACATTTTAAAAGATCAGTATAAGCACAATACTTAATCAAGAGGAGAAGTATACATGTCACAATATTGACCTTGAATTTGTTTCAATAAATGAAAAACCATGCCCATACCATAATTCCCCTTTTTACCATTAAAAAGAGATTGGTTGTGATCATTAACCAATTATAAACAATCCCATTTAAATGAAAACAAAAGTTTATAAAGAAGATGGGAATTAGGATGTCGCTCATTCCAAACTGCTTCATGCTGGAAGG